AAAAAAAAAAAAAAAGGTTGGAATTTTTAGTCCCACCTTCAGACCTCCAGGGAGGAGCAAGGGGTTAGAGATAGAGTATAATCACCAACAGCCAATGATTTAATCAACTATGCCTACATAATGAAGCCACCATAAAACCCAAAGGGGCAGGGTTCAGAGAGCTTCCAGGTTGGTGAACACGTGTAAACTAGATTCAGGAAGATCTGGAGATGGCATGGAAGTTCCATGCCCCTTCCCACATACCTTGCCCTGTGTATCTCTTCTTCTGGTTGTTGATTCATATCCTTTGCAATAAATTGGTAATCTAGTGAGTAAATGGGTTTCCTGGGGTCTGTGAGCAGCTATAGAAAATTAATCAAACCCAAGGAGGGGTTTGGGGGACCCTCTGATTTATAGCCAGTTGGGCAGAAGCACAGGTGATTACCTGGGCTTACGGTTGGCATCTGAAGTGGGGCAGTCTTATGGGATTGAACCCTTAACCCATGGAATCTGATGCTATCTCCAGGTCAATAGTGTCAGAATCGAGCTGAATTGTAGGACATCCAGCTGGTGTCTGAAGAATTGGTTTGGATATGTGGGAACACCCCCCACTCACATTGGAATTGGTATTAGCACCCTGTCATAACTCTTCCCTCTTGGTTCTTAAGAAATCATGCTCTCCCAGCTCTCCTGCTCATTCACATTGTCTTTTACTGGCTTCTCTTCCTCTACCCACTTTTTTTTTTTTTAAGATTTTATTTTTAAATAATCTGTACACCCAACGTGGGGCTTAAATTCACAACCCCGGGATCAAGAGCCACATGCTCTACTGACTGAACCAGCCAAGCACCCCCTCCTCTACCCAGTTTTTAAAGTCAATGTCTTTAAGAGTTCTATCCTGGCCTTTCTTCTCTTCTCACTATACACATCCTCAGTCATCACCAGCTTCAACCCTGATCTGAGTGCTAATGACTTGCAAATCTCTGCCTTCAGTCCAGATCACTCCTGAGATCTAGCTCCTCATATCCAAGTGCCTGCTGAACATCTTCCACCTGGGTTTACCCATTCATTTCATAAACAGAATCCCTACTATGTGCTAGGTCCTACCAAATTACCGGAGATAGTAGAGGTGAGTAAAATAGACTTGATATTTGAAGTTTTAGGGCTTACAGTCTTAGTAGGAAAAATAGACATTAAATATCTATTCCCATAAATAAATATATAATTACATACTAGTGGGGACTATGAAAGAAAAGCATAAGGTGCTTAGGGGGTATCACAGCGGTAACTCAAATTCAACTTTTCAAAACTGAAATAATGATGCCTCACCGCAATCTGATCCTCCTCGTTTTCATGTTATTTCCTATCCTAAATGTATTCAACAAGCACTCAAAGAATGTAGTAAGTGCCCACTAGGTGCCAGACAATCCCCTTCTCTCCAGTTGCCCAAGCCTGAAACCTGAGAAATCAACCTAGACCACTTCCTCATTCCCCACATCCGTTCAATATTAATTCTACCTCCTTAAATCGGTTATGTCCACCCAAATTCCTCCATCTCCACTTTACTGACTTAGTTCAGGCCATAGGTATTCATCACCTAGATTCTAGCAACAGTTTCTGGGGATTGCTCTGCCTGCTGTTGCTCTCTTCCCTCTGAT